CAACACAGGCCAGTAATTAACTCCCACCACCTGACCCTTGGGATGGAATATACAAGGAATCAACATGCAATAGGCATAAATCCTGCAGGGCGTATTCATTAGTTGTGATACAGTAGTGCAGAGAGGCTGCACAGCGCCAGGTGCTGTACATACTCCTAGTAAGAGCTAAATGGTATTGTTATCCGCTGACACAGATTAAGGCCACTCATCTCTTGAGAATCTGGCCCTTCCGTTGGGCGGTGATCTCTTGAAAACTCGGCCAGGTAACTCGATCAAGGAGCCTCTGGAGTCCCAATTTAGGGTGCGTCTACGCAGCACCTAGACGCCAGCGGCTGGCCTGGGCCAGCTGACCTGGGCTCGCGGGGCTCAGGCTACGGGACCGTTTCACTGCTGTGTAGACAAGCTCTGAGACCCTCCCACCTCGCAGGGTCCTGCAGCCTGAGCCGGGAAGTCTACACAGCAACGAAACTGCCCCGCAGCCCAAGTCAGCCGGCACAGGCCAGCCACGGGTGTCTAGTTGCCGTGTAGACGTACCCAGAGTGTCTTAACGGCAAGGCAATGCAGGGCAGATCCCACCCAGGCCAGGGTTTCAGCACTAGCCCGCTCTCTTTTTTACGGCGCACCCGGCTTCCTCTGGTTTCCAGTGGTTTAAAAAAAAATTCCAAGCTTGATCCAGATGCCTGACATTGATCGGTGCTAGAACTAATCCGACACTACATGGTTTTCGGAAACCTCATGCACGGCTGCTCCGCTGCGGCTGCCTTCAAAAAGAGAAAACCTTTCCCCTTTCCCGGGAGCAGCTGCTTGGAAGGTGTCACCTAGAAAACTTAATTCCCATCTCCCCCTTTGCCTGCGAGGTTCTCTGTGCTGGGAGCTCAGACTCAGAAACTTGGCCCTAGCGCTGGCCTGGGCTGTTTGGGGTCTTGGCAGGCCGTGTCGTTATTGATGATCGTTTACAGAGCGTTGTTAAGGGCACCCGATGCCGATGGTGCGAGGTGCTGAGTGCGTTCTGCAGCCTGCAATAGGTGCTCAGAACCACGCAGGATTTGGTTTGGGGGAGGTCTGAGCCCCTGTGCACAGCAGCTTTCGGGAGCGGGCTGCAGGGGGCCCAGGTGAAGCTGTAGGGCACCAAGATCGGATGGGAAGATGGTTCAGGCACAAGGGGAGACAGGGCATGAAGGTCACTGCAGGGCTTGGGGTCGGCTGGGTGTTGCTGGGGAGGCTGTTTCAAGAGGGCAGCTCAGACGCCAGCACCCAGCTGAGAGCAGGAGGATCGGTCACAGGGGCGAGGATGCAGAGGAGAATTGAGGATGGATCCGGGCCCAGCGGTGACGCCGGCCCGTTGTAGCAGCCAGTCAGCGAGAAGCCCAGGGCTGAACTACCCCGTGCAGATCCAGAGAAAGCGCTGAGTTTGCATGGGGGTAGCTGAAAGCCAGATTGGCTCCCGAGGTCTATCCGGGGACTGGGCGGAGGAAGATCAGCGTCCGTGTAGGATGGGGTGTTCGGGAAGGAAGTGCATGCCTTGGGGTGGGAACTGGGAGGAAGAGTCCGCTTGGAGAGAGGCCCAGCGGGGAGCCTGGGGTGCTGGAAGGAAGGGGAGGTGGGGCGGGGGGGGTGTTTCTTGGGCCACTGCAATAAGCCGAGTATTGGGGTCTGAGTGTCCCAGATCCAGGCACGGGGGCTCAGGGGACCCCTCGCCGCCCTCAATCTGCAGCGGAACGCTCCGGCGAGGGGGGAAGACGGGAAGGAGGCGCCTCAGTCCCTCCCTGCACAGCTTCTGGGCATCGTCGCCGGAGGTGTGGCACCCACCTCGCAGGTTCAAGAACCGCACGCCTTTCCGAGCCGCCTGCACCGAGCGGGCCCCCCGAGAGGTTGGTCACCCTGGTTAGGCGGTGGGGGATTTTTTTTTCTTTTCGCTCTTGCTTCTAAAATAAGTCTCCGCTTGCAGCCACACACCCTCCCAGGGGGGACCTTTTCTTCTTAACCAACCTTTATTTGAAACACTCACTTTTCCTGTCTTCAGAAGCACAAACCTCACACAACTCTCTTCTGCCGCCGCCAACATGTGCCCCCACTCTCAGCCCCGGCCTTCGCCTCCCCTTACAGGAACTGGTTCGTTTCTTCCCTGACGTTTGCGAGGCCAAAATCCCGGTGCCACGGCTTGGGCCGGTGCCAGTCTGTTCTGTCATGCCAGGCAGTGCGGGGGGAGGGCAGGGGCGAGTCCTGCTTTGCCAGGCCCCGGCTGCTTTTTGTTTGATTTGCGTTGCTAGTGATTGAGCTGGAGAAGAAAGTTTCCACTCTTTGATCTCTGAGGGGCAGAAGGTTAGTTTGGAGGAAGGGAGGTTACACACAGGGCAGCGCTTTTTCTGACTGGCTCACCTGCTGTTGCCAGTGCGGGACCCGCCCCAGCAGGGCCTGGTGGGCTGGGTTGGGTTTTTTTGTTTTGGAAGGCCGCAGAAGAGAGAGGGCATGGCAGGTTCCCGCCCTGTGCTAAAACACGGGCTCCGAACGGTCACAATATTTCAGGTCTGAAATATTCATGGGGCTGCGGGCGAATGTCGGGCATCCAGGCGGCTGTTCGGGCCTCAGTGAGAGAGGACAAAGTGCTGGCACCTTCCTGGCCTGGGTGAGATCAGCCAACCTAGAAATCCCCTCTCCACCTCACCTTGCCTTCCACTGCAGCATGGCCTCGTGGTTGGAGCGACTGGGACTTCGGAGAAGTCCCGTGGCCTATGATGGCGAGGATGTCAAGCCAGATGATCACAGCGGTCCCTACTGACTTTAGAGTTTGTGAAGCTGTGTAGTGGGGTACTGGAGACCTGGGTTCTCTTCTTGGCTTGGCTGCTGGGTGACTTTGGGCATGCCGGGCCTCAGTTTCCCAGACTTTAAAATGGGGAGAATGAACCTGACCCCCCTCTGTAAAGTGCTTGGAGATCTAGGGATGAGAAGAGCTAGGGGTGAGGATTATTTGTTATTTGTGGGTCTCTTTCCTTCACACCCAGCTTGTTGCATCTTCAGAGTGAGCCCGCAAAAGAGTTACTGCGCCCGTCTCTGTCCTGCTGTATGTCATAGGCTCCTATGCACTGCGGTCACCCCCTGGCTTCTAGAGTAGGGATGGCTTTAGGGGGATGGATTCCCAGCTCTGCCACTGGTTCGCTCTGTGACCTTGGGCAAGTCGACAAGGGGTATGTCTCCACAGCAGCGAACCTCAGAGCCCCCATCTGCCGAGTGGGGACAATGATGTTGCCTTGTCCTGCTGCGGGCAGGGGATTAGTTTCCTCATTTTGCAGAAGGGAAGGGAAGGCGGAAAGATTAAGTGACATGACCAAGGCCCCAGAGACTGCTGCTGCCAGCGGTGGGATCAGTGGTCCCTTAATGAGGTTATTCAGGGCCCGACTCCAGCGCCTGTTGAAATCAATGGGAGGCTTGGTTGGGGGAGAAGGGCGCTGCTGCTGCTCCCCTGAGCTGACCCTGGTGGGGCCAGAGGAGCAGGCTCAGCTCGCAACAGCCCTAGCGCCACCGGCCATAGCTCAGAGAGCACAGATCCCCCCCCCCCCCAAACTGAGGGGCCGCAGGCTTTATGGATCCCAAAGGCGTCCACCTCTGGGCAGGAGCGTGTATGACCGGTCATCTTCAGGAAACATCAGGGCTGGCTGTTTGTCCCTAGCGATCCGTACCCACGGCAAGGCCCATGTTCAGGGCTCTCTCCGTGAGCTTGGCAAGGGACTGGATGCCAGCTGGGATCGATGCCGAGTTCCCCACCCCCTAGAAGAACCGGGGAGCATGTGAGTTTCAGGACACCGGGGAGCTCCAGGAGGTGTAGCTGCTGCGGTGGCTGACGGAGGAGAGCTATAGATGGTTCCCTGCCGCCTTGTAGGGCTCCCGAGGGCTTCCTCTGTGTGCGCCTCGTGCCCATTGTTCACAGAATCCTTCGTCGCCTGTCACTCCCGCCGGCCGCCCGTCAGAACAAACAATCGCCCCCTCACAGGGGGATCTGTCCTGTGAACGCCGGCGTGAAAACAACCCCCGATTCTTTAGGGGTGGCGGGAGGGGGGGACCTGTCCGCTGCTGTTACGTGAGCCATCTCCCAGGTCCCCTCCGTGTCACAGTCATTCAGCTCAACGCGGCCGCTCTCTCGCACCCGGCCTGACAGCCCCTCGATAACCTCATGAGACAGGTTCTCCCTTCACATCAACGTAGCGAAGCTGGGCTTTTTAAAGTTGTTGGGGAGACTTCCATGTGTTGACGACTTTGGCAGGGCCGCGGGAAAGGCGTTGATGGCGACGGCAGCCCGGCGGGAGGAAAGAGTCGTTGTTTTTCTGTTGCATTGTTGTTTGTTTGATTGGAAAGCCAGGACGCCTGGGTTCCACCCTTGCTCGCTAGGTGACCTTGGGCAAGTCGCTCGCCCTTCTTAGAACCCCGGTCTCAGTTTGTAAAGGGTGAAAAAACCACTGTCTGCTTTTGTCTGGCCCTATCCTGTACTACGATTTCTAATGTGGGTTATGGTACTGCCTGGGAGTGGACCCCGTTGAGCTAGGGGCTGGTTAAACCCAGAACAAAAAGCCAGTCTCTGCCCCACAGAGCGTCCAATTGGAGTCTAGGGCCAGAGACAACAGCTGGCTACAGACAGACTGGCCACTGCTGGTCGGTGTGATGAGCAGCGGCCTTGGCTCGTTTTGTTCTAACCTTGTTCTGATGATCTGTGTTAACGTAGGATCGCAGGCCCTGGGGGGAGATCAGACGGACCCCCAGACGTGAGCCCCAGAGCTCTCCCGGGGCCTTCCCCAGACTCCCAGGGTCCAGCACCTGCCCCCGTCTCCCATGGCAGTTGGCTCTGATCTGCCCTGGCCATGCCCCCACCCCTGCAGTCGCCCCTCACCGTCGAGGGGGCGCAGCGGTTCAGCAGAGCCGGGAGGGGGGGGTGTCTCCCTGTCCCCGAGCCGGGCCCGTCTCCATGGGGGTCGCTTTACGCCTTGCCCTGCTGTCTCGCCCTGTGTTAGGGTGAACCTGGCGTTGGCCTACACCGAGCTGACCGAGGAGCTGTGCCAGCTGAGGACCCTCAGCTCCCTGCAGAGCCAGATGCTCCGGACGCTGCTGCAAGAGCAGGCCATCAACGGCGGTGAGCACGTTCCCGGGGGCAGCGGGGGGTTGGGCGGGTTCGGGTCTCCGAAGGGAGATCGGCACTGTCCCCCTTGACCAGAAGGGCCCAGAGTTTGGGATCTGAAAGGGGAGAGGGGCTGGGGAGGGATGCAGAGCCCCGAGGTCAGGCTGTCACCCCGCCACCCGCTCCCTGGGACGTCCCTGCTACCCTCCCCGTGCGCCTCAGGCCCAGAAGGGCGCCCTCTAGGGGCGGAAGGGGAGATGGCTCTCAGGGGCCTGGATTCCACCCTTGGCCTCTTTCCGTGATCAAGATGGTCCCGGTGCCCGCGTAGGCTGAGCTGGTCCCTTCCCGGCGGTACCACCCCCAGGGCACTGCTCTCCGTGCTGCGCGTGCACATGTGGGGGTGTCCCCTTGCTGACTTGCTTGTCTTTGTGCCGTTGCTTTGCAGGCCAGAGGCACTCCCCGCTCTCGCAGCGCCGCTCCCCGGCGCCGCCCTGCCCGCCCCCGGCTCAGCAAGGCCGGCCCCCGGCCCCCCAGTGCCAGTCTCCCGCGCTGCAGCGGCGGTCTCCCGTCCCCCCCAGCCAGTCCCCTGCCCAGCAGCGCCGCTCCCCGGCGCCCCCCCCGTGCCAGTCCCCTGCCCAGCAGCGCTGCTCCCCGGCGCCCCCCCCGAGCCAGTCCCCCGCCCAGCAGCGCCGCTCCCCGGCCCCCTCCTGCCCGTCCCCCGCCTCCCAGCACCGGGCGCCCCCCACCAGCGAGAGGAACATGATGGATCTGGGGTACTCGAAGCCCCCAAGCCACCACATCAAAGCCAGCTTCCAGGGGCGTCGCAGCTACTCGGAGGTGAGCGACGCTGCCGTCTACCGGCAGGGCCACTCCCTGTGGCTGCAGCCCGAAGCCTCCACGCTGCCTAAGCACCGTCCCTACGGCGAGGTTTACATCGGGGGGGCCGGCGGGCCCGGGAGCGCCAGGGACGCCTTCGAGGAGCACCTGCGCTTCGAGAAGCAGTCCTCGGACGAAGACGAGTGGGGCGTCCCCAGCCCCCCCAGTCCCGAGGCGGGCGCCATCCGCTGCGCCTCTTTCTGCGCCGGCTTCCCCATCCCTGACCCCGCCACGCACCGGACAGCTGCCTCCTACTCCAGGGCCGAGCACGCGCAGTCCTGGCCGTCGATCAACGTAAGCGATAGCCCCCGTTACTACCGAACCCACTGCTTATCCCGCTGCGAGCTTCTTCGCAGCAGTGTCACCTCCAGCCTGGTCTGAGACGGCCTAGCCGAACCCCCGGACTCGGGGACGTTTGGCCCCTTTTCTCAGTAATGGGTCTGACCCAGAATGTAGGACCCAGGGAGGAAGAGGAGTGGCGGTCCTGTGGCTAAGGACGGGGAGAGCTGTGTTCGGGTCCTGGCTGTGCCGCCGCCGACCTTGGGGAAGTCACTTAACCACTGCGTGCCTCAGTTTCCCCATCAGTAAAATGGGCTGTGATACTTTCCTACCTTGTAAGGATCAGTCCAGTCCGTGGCTGAGGCAGTTGGTTACTGTGGTGCTGGAGGCCTCGGGAAAGCCTGTAACCAGATAAGAAATGTGGGGAATTTTGGCTTCCAACCTTGAGCTGAGCTGTGCCTGGTGGACCCCAGCGGTGGACAGCAAGTGCTGGGAGAGGCACCCCCTAGTGACTGAGGGGAGCTGACACCTGCGTCCTTGAAAGCTGCCAGGAGGGGGAGGGTGGGGCATAACCCCCCAAGGAGTGGGTTGAAATTAATGAGGGGGAAATTCAGACTGAAGATCCCAGCAAAGCCTGCTGAGGGGGAGGCCGGGTGGGCTGCAGAACAGTCTCCTGGGGGCGGGAAGCAGTTCAGCGGGAAGTCCTGGGCCCCGGCTGCTGCGAATTGGGGCTGCTCCATCGACTTCAGCGGAACTCCGCTGATCATCATCAGCTGGGCTCCCAGCCCTGCAGCTCTGGGGAGGAACCTGGGACCCTCCTTTCCGCAGAAAGGTCATTTCTTGCCCCTTCTCGCCCCGCAGCTGCTGATGGAGACGGTGGATTCCGACATCCGAAGCTGCCCCCTCTGCCAGCTGGCGTTCCCTATTGGCTACCCGGACGATGCTTTGATAAAGCACATTGATTCGCACCTGGAGAACAGTAAGATCTGAGGCTTCTCCTCCTCGTCCTGACTTCCTTACAGCCCTGGCCCCCTTTGGATGCTGCATGAAAACGCGGGGAGCGACACGGCTCCCTAAATACCTCCAAGTCTTCAGTAGCTGCAGGAAAGACTGAACTGTAAGAGATTCACCTCTCCCTCACCTTGGTTTTAAGTGGGTTTCTTCCACCCCCCCACCCCCCGTGACCCCAGGATCTGCAATACCCGGTGATGCTTGTGCCAGCCGGCGGGACGCTCCGGTCCAGGCACTGGGGGAGGGCAGACCCGTCGGTAGTGGCTTCTTACAGAGGGTGTCGCTTGCCTTTTACTGCTGCTTCCTTTACAGCTCTTGCTGTGTCATTTGGTTTCTCTGGATGATCTCAGGGAGGATTGATGGAGGATGGATCCCCCCCCCACACCGCCCACACCCCCACTCTGAAAGCTGCTTCCGTGAGAGGCACAGAGTTTCCATGCACCTGTCTGCGGGAATCTCGGTGCCGTTTGAGTCTCTCTCCCCAGGGGTTTAATTGTTCCAGGACGGTTGGTTCTCTTCAGCTTTGGTCACTGTTGGGCCCCCGAGAGCTTTCAAACCAACCTGCCTTGGCCTTTGGCTGCTAGTTCAAGCATCTTACCAGTCTTTTACATTAAAATCCCACCACCCCTTCTCTCAGTGACGCTGTTGAGAAACGAAACCCACTTTCTAGAGGTGTAGCATGGACATCCCATAATATTGCACTGAACTTAATGCCGGCTAGGGGCCGTATCCTGGTCTCCTCAAAGTCAACGGCTGGTTTTGTCATCGACTCCGGCGGCGCCTAGCTACGTCTCTGGTGTAGTTATATTCTCTTCGATGTATCGTTTACTCCTCCTTCATTGCTTTGAGTAGCTAGTTACCGTGTATCAAGGATCCTCTCTGTGTCCCGCATAGCGGTCACGCCCTCACCTTGCCCGCAGTCTCGTGACGGCCTGTGACACTGGCGTGACGGCATCGTGTTAATTCCGCAGCGGTCACCTACGTGGGTCCAAGATCCACTGTCTCTCTCCGGCCTTACTAAGCATCTTTGCGTTGTACTGATCTACGCCAAGCCCATTCAGACTGGCCAGCTGTCCCCATTTCCCCCGCGGGGACTGTCTCAATGGAACGACATGGGGTCATTCGTTCATCAGAAGTGCCCGTATAGTGAAGATGCTTTGGAAAGTAGCCCCGCATCTCCTAGCAGGACCCAGAGATAGTTTTTGTGCTGGGCAAACCCCTGCTCCTTTGTCATTCCCCAGGGTGCTGATGACGCTAGCAGCTGTAGCAGTGCTTCTCTGGGTAGGCATCGGCTGTTCCTCTGGCTGGTGTCATTCGTCCAAACTCTGGGGCGGGGAAGGGAAGGAAGAGAATCTCGCTTGCTCTTGGCCGCGCCGTGGGCTGGGAGGTGGCGTTCGCCCTCCGGCATTGGAGTGGAAAATGTAATTCAGAACGAACCGGCCCTTTCACCCCAATGCTCGGCCTAGAGATGGGCCCAAACCACTAACCGTTAATCTGGAGCGACCAGATCCCTGGCATTTCAAGGGGTATTCAGATGCAGGGTTTGGGCCCCACTCTCAAAGTGGGCTGGGGAGTGGGTGTGGTGTGAAATTGGTTTACTTAGGGTGAGGATTCTCCGGGCCCAAGGGGAATCCTGAGCTCCTTGTCTGAGGAAACTCTCAGAAGGGGAGGACTTGTCCATACTTGAAAGTTAGTGCGGATTAAAGCACAGTGTAAATGGAAAGTGTATTAGTTGTTCCCGATTAACCCCCCATGCCTGGACCCTTTTATTCCACAACAAGAGTGCCCCGTTCTCGTTTAGTTTCACTACGGCGCGTTAAGCTGACCGGGGACAAGGCTGGAATACGAGGATCCACAAATGGAACAATTCCACGGCTAGCCGAGCCCTGGATTGTGGGGTTTGTCCGTGGAACCGAGAAACCCCTGGAATTTAGAGGTTTCCAAATTGCCATAAGAAGAGTTTGTGATTTAACAGGGATCAGAGCAGGGCCAACCTGTGGCTCGGGTGCCCTGGGGGCTGGCTGGCGTGATGACGAGCTTCTGACCCCACATGCTGGGTGGCCGAGGGGTTCGTTACCGACTGATGGTGCTGGCGATCCAGGGTGGACGGATGCCAGAATTATAGGACCAGGAATTTACTGATGGGCTTGATGTGGAAATCACTGGGTGCGGCGCTCTGGCCTGCGTTATGTGTAACTGACACATAAGCCACCCAGAGGCGGGTCCACGCAGGAGCTTGGATCATTTTGGTCCCTTCTGGCCTTAATGGGTGTGTCTGCACTGCAGAGAAACTCCCGTGGCTGACCCGGGTCACCTGACTCGGGCTTGGGCTGTGGGACTATAAAGTTGCAGTGTAGACGCCTGGGATCCTCCACCCTCGTGGGGTCCCGGAGCCTGCGCCCCAGCCTAACGCCAGACATGTACAGGGCAGTCTTATAGCCCTGCCGCCTGAGCCCCGGGTGTTTCATCGCAGTGTAGACGTACCCAAAGCCTATGAATCAGAGAGCAATTCCAGACGCTTCCAAGCAGCGCTGACGCCGGTGCCCCCGTGTAAGGTGCCCAAGTCTAACGGGGACGCGGGCCTTTGGGAAAACGCATTCAAACCGGTTTTGTGCATTCTGGGGAGGTGGGGGCTAACACCCCGCCACTCATGGCTCACCCCCCATATCTCATGTCGTGCTGCATCTGTGGCCGGAAGTCGTGGCATTGGGCAAACAGGGCCCAATCCTGCGAGATTGCAGAAAAATTCCAAGTAGGCTCTGAGCACCCTCAAGTCCCACAGAAGTCAGCGGGGGCTGAAAGGGCTTGGGTCTCCTTGGAAGGCCAGCTGGCAAAAATCGGTGTAGCCCCTTTGGCGTCAATGGGGCCACGCCAATTTACACAGACAGAGGAGCTGGCCCCGTCCTCCTTGGCTGATGCATCACTCCTTTCCATGCTCTGATAACACGCTCGCCCACAAGCTGTGGATCACAGGCAAGACAAGCATTTTCAGCAGGCGGAGGATTCCAGCCATATTGAAGTCATGTCACTTTAAGGTTGGGGGAGGGGCCAGCACTTGGGGGGGAGGAGTCAAGGGCTAGAGACGTGCCCGCGAGCAATTTAATTTCCCCACTACTGACACCACTTGTCCCACATCCACATGAAATCTACCTCAGAGCCAACGAGAAGCAGAAATGATGGAGCGGGGAGATTGGGCTGGGCCGCCCAGGTCCATCTCCAGGGGTCTGATGCATTCTGCATTGTGGCGCAAAGCCTGATGCGACAACGCACGGCTCTGTCTGAAGAGCCCAGAGCGACCCCTTCCCCATGCGTGGTCTGCAGCGAGCTCTCGGTGTGTCATTTATTGTAGGCTGCTCCGGGCCTGTTACTTCAAACCCCCCCAACCCCCGTTCTAGTCCAACAATCCAAAGCAGAAATATGTGATGTGGTATAATCTCCGCCCCTCTCCCAACCGAGCACCCAATCGGGAGATCCAAGCGGCCTGTCAGTCATTGTTCTGTGCTGCATGCTCTTGACTGACCCAACAAACACGAGCCCCTGAGATCCCCAGCTCAGGGGAACGTGGAGAGACATTGGTCTTTATGTATCTTCCTTTTGTGTATGTTCTCTTTGAAGAGATCCTGTGCTCTGTGAAACAGAATAAGTCGAATAAAAGTTACCTATAGACTGAAGCATCAATTGGCAGCCAAAATCTCTTCTCTTTTGGGCTGTGTGGGTCAGCGCTGGCTTGTTCGCTTTTGCAGTTAAATTCCCCAGGATAACGTAATCTGCTTGGTCGGGGACAAAGTGTTGGTCTAGTACTTGGAGTAGAGGATTGGGAGTCAGGACTCCTAGGTTCTATTCCTGGCTTTTGGAGGGAGTGTGGTCTAGTGGTTAGAACAGAAGACTGGGTGCCAGGACTCCTGGGTTCTATTTTTAACTTGTGGGGGCGAGAGCATATGGTCTAATGGACAGAGCCGGGCACAGGACTCCTGGGTTCTGCTTCCAGCTCAAGCCCATCTCTAGCTGGCAGGGAAGTTATATCACCGACAGCACGTCTCCCAGGGAGAGGGAAAGGGAATGGGTCTGATTCGCTCCCAGCTTACACTGAAGTCAAACTACTAACCCCACAGAGGTCCGTGGAGTCACACCAAGTGAGCACTGGATCAGGCTTCAGCTGGGTGGGCTGGAACCTGATTCACTGTGTGAGAACAGCTGGTTCATGAAGGTCTGTGTTGGCTATGTTAGAGTGGGGTGACTCTGATGGTCTCCGGGACTGAGCAAGAGCTGGCCAGAAAATGGAAATCCCTTCCTGAGAAAAAGTTGACTTTTTTTTTTGTTTAATTTTCTGTCCCGAATGAAAAAAGTCAAAAATGTAAAAAATGTTGCAGGAAGGGAGGGATTTCCAGATAAAATCTGCATGGGGAGAACCACAACGGAATCTTTTGGCTTCCCCGAGGCTTGCTTGGAAGACTGTTGTCAATTTCACTTTCCCCCAGCAGGCAGCATGTGAAATTGACAAGCGTCTTCCAGGGGATCCCGCTTTTCAGTTTTCCACCAGAGAAACTCAAAAAATGTTCAGCAACATTGACATGTTCTGCCTCAGTGCAACAACCCTGATCTCAGGTACCACCCTAATACAAACAACAAGGCCGGTCTTCGCTAAAAAGTTAGCTCGACCCAGCTACATTGCTCCGGTACAGACAGCGCTAGGTTCTCCCATCGCTGTAATGACGTCTACAGTGACACGCAACAGCGGCGCCTATATACCCGTTTAAGTGTCGACGTAACCTAATAACCTCCCTGCTTGGCAGTGTCGTGGATCATGGGGAAGAACCCTGCAGACCAGTCTTGGTGTGGGTGTGGGAAACAGAGGCACCGAAATGAGGCTCAAATTCACACAGCAGGTGAGTGGAGTGGCAGAGGTGGGAATCGAATCCACACCGCTTCCCTCTCACCCAGTGCTGGGGAGTGGACCAGCTCATGTGTTTGCGCCTCTACGAAGACCTGATGTTAGTAGCGCAGGCCAGGGAAGGTGAATGAGTTGAAGCGACCTTGTAACCGGGCCCTACAGAGCTGGATTGTTTCAGATTTACTGCGGTGTTTTCACAACAGTAAGATTAGAACCTCGGCGGCGGGGGGGTGGGAGGGAAATAGGACAATCAAAACCAAAAGCAAAAGCTTTGCAAGTCCCCGGGCAGTTAGGTGGGAAGCCTGTGTGAGAATGCTCCCTGCGTTACCTCCTCCGGCCCTGACCCTGCCATGCGCCCCCACCGCTGGATTGGAACCTTTCACATCCCCGGGGGTGGGAAAGGGGGAAGAGGCATGATAAATAAACATTCTGACTACTCCACACACACCCCCTCCCCCGATCTCACTTCCATACTAGCGTGAGGCATTGATCCAAAGCCCACTGAAGTCAATGACGGGAAAAGCTGCTGGGCGGTAGATTCCCCCTCCCACGTTACACAGCCTGGCTTTTCCAGCCCCTTCAATGGAACCCCACTCCACATGGCGGGCGGGGGGGAGAATGGGGCTGAATCAGGGCACGGCGGCGCCCCCTGGAGTTGATTGAGGGAACTGCAGCATGTCACATTTTTGGTGCTCGGGGTTACAATTCAGGATGCCGGGGTACTGCTGTGCTTTAAGAAACGTAGCCAGATCCGTCGTAAATCGCTGCTGCTTTTCAAGACGGAAGTGTGGTCGTCAGGGTACTTACCTAGGGGCCTATCCACTTCTAAGCAGGGATTTTATTACTTGTATCACAGTAGCAGCTAGAGGCAGGGGTGGAGATCAGGGCCTCAGGATGCCAGGTGTTGTACCAGCACATAGTAAGAGAGAGTCTCTGCCCCCCAAATGCTTAGTCTAAATAGACAAGACCGACAAAGGGTGGGAGGGGGACAGAGGCCCAGGCTGGAGAAGTGACTAAAATCCCACAGTAGATAGCACCCAGGTGGCTTGACTCTTCGCCAGTGCCCTAGTTACAGCCCCGTACCTTGGCTTGGGATTTGGCCTTTTAAGGTGCAAAGAGGAGAGACTGACCCACCACAACAAAGAAACAAGCTACTATTTATAGCCCAGCTCAGTGGTCACGTCCACTTGCAAAATGCCGACTGTGCCACTGCCAGCCGCACGACAGTGCACCCTCAGCATTTGCACGTGCATCACTTCACACGGGCGGCGGCATGAAACCCGCTTTTTGCACGCATCGTTTGCACGAATCAGGTACGCTCGGCCCCGGCTACCTGATTCCAGCAAACAAATAGCTGTGGTACCTGTAGGGATGCAGCATTTCAAAATGGATTGCAAATTGGGCCGGCATGTTTTTTGGAAAGGGTGTTGGAAATCTAGACTGGGGACGGGGGGACAGGAAAGGTTCCGGCCTTCAGATCTATGAATCTGAACCCACGGAACAATGGTGCAAATGAATTCCTGTCCTCTTTTGGGGAGAATAAAGCACTTTGGTCTGCAGCTGAAGAGGAGATAAGCGTAAAAACACAAGCCCCAAGACCAGGGGAGATATGAGGCTACAAAGCACATAGTGGTTGAAACCACAGAGGAAGCGTGTAGCAAACAAGATGTTTGGTAAGCAAAATACCGAGCGAAACAGAGGCGAGGGAGGAGAGAATATGCCTGAAGAAAGAACATGGAGAGAGAAAGCCAGATCCCCGGCTGGTGTAAACCAACGTAGCACTATTTAAGTCAATGGACTACATCCCCAGTTAGTATAAATCGGTGTTGCTGCCTTGAAGTCAATGGAGTGACACCGATTCCAGCTGGGGATCTGGGTGAAAGCCTCATGCTGTTGAATTCAATGGGAAAACTGTTGAGGCTTTCCACTCTCGTCCATAACAATATCAAGTTTAGCCAAAGTCTACGGCCGCCAATTTAGAGACCCCGTTGACTTCAGTGGGCTTTGAATTGGGCAGGTCGGGAGCATCCAGGTAAGTCTGAAGGAACCACAAGGAGATGGAAATACCCAATGGGTTAATAAACGTTTCTTTAGGAACGACGCCTGAGCAGAAATGACAAACAGAAGCGAACTCCTGGATGCGGTCCGAACAAACTTGTGAATTTCGTGTCGCAGGAAATTTGGAAATTTCCATTTTTCATTCTGATCCGGGACGAAAGGAAAAGTTAGAATTTCCCACCGAATGGGAGTTCTGCATTTTGACCAGCCCTAGTCCTGACGCTATTGAAAATCTGGCTCTTACTTCGGTTTGGTCAAATGGAAAGTCAGTGGGACTTCACGCTCCTAAGTGACGTAGGGCCTGTCTACATGGCAGTGGGAAGGTAGATACCGGAGCTAGCTAGCTGAAATACCAAGAGGAGTGAAGCCATGGCAACCTGGGCTAGCCAACCGAGTTCCTGCCCAGGCTCCGGGGTAGGCAATAGTCTGGCCGCTCGCCCAGGCTACCGCTCATGCTGCCACAGCTTCACTGCGATTGGTGTCTGAGTTACTTAGATGAAAGCTAGCTCAGGTCTGGCTACAAAAGCTGCAATCACAGTGCAGCGTTAACAGGGCCTTTGGTGCATTAGAAAACTGGCCCCTCCGTGCTTGAATGGGAGCTGAGCTCTTCTGAAACTCTGGCCCCGAGTCTGGGTGCTGAGCAGTGCTACGTCCGGCCTTGAGCTCTTTGCAAAACAGAGCATCATGGGGATGATAACTTTCCACTCTTTCCCCCCCTCAGTTTGTGCTGTCTTTTTTTTCAACCCCCACACGAGAAGGCTTCTGCTGGGCTCAGTTATTCTTTGGTGAGAGAAACTTTGCAAACAGGCAGCTAAACCTGCGAAGCATTCTAGGTTAACACTCCCTAACGGCGACATCAGAAATAGGGGGTGACACTTTCTTGGCGGCACCCAAAACCTTAGCTTGCTGTGTCGCCGCCCTGCCTCAGCGAGAGAGAGATTTGCCAGTGCCAAACTGGGGGTGACAACTCCCTGTCCCCCCCGATCTGTTAGCCACCCCAAATCAACTTCTCAAAACTCTGCCCTTCATGCTGTTCTGTTTACCTTATGCTTTCCTTTGTTCTAGTCCCTTCACCCAAAATAAACAAGGAAAAAAACCCTGTAACCTTTGCTTTGTTGGTTTGTTTCCCACCTTCTCGCTGGGGAATCACGTCACAATCCAGTTTTTCAGTGCCCGTAGCGTGAATCTGAGCCACCCAGCAAGCTGGGTGTCAACCCTGCCGACTACGTCCCTGCTACGCTTTCCCTGTTTAGCAGCAGCAAATCTCTTGCTGAGGGAGAAGGGTAACAAGGCGCCTTGTAGTGCCGGACGCCCCGAGAAAGCGTCAGGCGGGGGGAACTCCGAAACCACTTCCAAGCATTTTCTCAGAGCTGGGCCATTGCTCTCAACACAGCCCTGAGGCTACAAAGAAACCACATGGACGCAGCTGGGTTCCAAATAACTCTACTAAAACTATTCACGGACACGCAAACCCTGCCGCTCTGGTCGGGCTGGTGGCTTCTGCACTAGAAGACAGGGAGGCCCAGCCACAAGGTCCTGTGCGACCTTGGGGACATCATTTAGCCTCTCTGTGCCTCAGTTCCCCTCCCCCCCCCCGTACAATGGGGATAACAGCGCTGCCCGGCCCCATAGTGGGCTATGAGGTAATACGGGAAAGCTTGCGAGGTGCTCAGACACTGGGGGAAAAGGGCCCATCTAGCTAGCTGGAGCGAGGGA